CTACACCCTTTTTCTTAAACCCTGAACCCTTAGTTTCAGATTCGGTGACTTCCAGGAGCGATGTCCCCTTCGCCGCTTAGAGGTGGAGGCTGCTCCTTCTTCGTTTACTGGAGCATTACAGTATATTAGAGTGTAAGTTATAGTATATAAGTCTGGTGTGGGCTTTAGGGTTTTGTTTTGGGTTCGACCCCCTGGTAAGACAATGCTATGTAAGGTCCCAGGATACCTACATGAGGCCGGTTTGGCGCCTGCTGCGGTAAGAAGGCTTAGACCACTGCCCAGGCTAGTTAGTCCAAGCAGAAGCAACCATCAGCGACCCACTGGCCGCCGCGGTCCATTTCGATATCATAGGTTAATTCCAACTTATGAACTAAGAGTCTAAGGACCCACGCTTCGCATACGGCTGGCCCAAATACCGCACAACATATGGCCTTTTGGTTCTTTTCAGCCCAGGGCAAGCAATCCTTGAAGTTCTTGAACACGCCCATATTACAGCCTCCCCCTTGCCCGATCAGTTCAGGGTGGTGGTCTCCATGTAGGAGCTTCAGACAGAAGGATCCTACAAGAGTAGGATCCCTCCCTAGATGAGGTACCCCTGGTTTCAACAAGCCCGGGTGTAGTTTCCTTATCTGTTGTTTTTCTTGCATGGTGGAGGCACGCCTTCAGGAGTTGGAGGACAGCCGCAGTGGCACGGGGATTGATGCCTTGAAACTCATGGCTCCCCTCGGAGGCGTTGCGGTAAGTCAAGTGCCATCTGAAAGCTGTCATGTTCATATCTGATATCAGCATGCCATGCCAGATGCACGTGAAGTTTCAGCTGTTGCTGGCAAGAGACATACAGTGTCACATCAAACTGCGACCTGTTTAGCAATTCTGTACGCAGCTTTCAAATCAAACGCTCTCACAAGGTTCAGCCTTCAGGCTCTTTGGAGTTGCAGCTATGGTAGAGTAAGAATATTCAATGCTCGTTGCCAACGGCATGGTAGTATGTGCTCTAGCGTACTCGGCAAGGTCATTCCCGAGAAAGAGTCTAATTGCCAACGGTACTTGTGTGTTTTCATGCGTACTGCAGTTCAAACTCAACCACCGCGACTGACAACCTGTGCTGTTCAGGTTATACATATGAACCTGATGAAGCCATGGCCCCTTGCTTTCCTGGTGTTCAGGGTTAAAGGTGAAGTTTTCGTTTCGGACGAACGTACTGCAGACATCAGGTTGCCCTTGGCAGAGGCGGCATCGGCTTTTTGTTTCAGGGATCGTGCAATGTCGTGTCACTGGAACTGTAGGCCTTCCACCCTACAACACCGTCCGCATTGCTCCGGCACCCTGTCAGCCATACGATAGGGGCCTAAATATATAATTACCACTACTATTATGGGGTTCCCCTCCATAATTATGGTATATATAATGGGCCCCAAAACCATATTATTAAGGCGCCTATATTAATTGAGCTCTAAGATGGTTTTGGGCGCTGCGTGGGATGCGAGAGCGAGACGAGACCGTTGAGTGAATGTGGCACCGCATATTCCAATAGCTATGAGCCGATGATACAATTATAGAAAGGTAACAAAAGAGTAACATAAAGAGTAACATGATCATTGAATTGAAAAGGCTATGCATTTATGAAGAAAGTGAGCACAAGCTGCTGGCATTCATATTATGGCCGAAATCTGAAACGTGAAAAAGGAAAGCGGACTTATGCTTCCGTCCGTTCCCAGGCCGTGAAAGTACGCGGCTTGGGGTTCAGGGCTCTAGCGTGCAGGGCTTTGCTTTGAGTTATCGGTTTAAAGCTGAGGGCAAAGGGTGCTGTCGTGCTGTGATACCGGCACTAGTGCTGTTGACCCAAGGGTTTTGTGAAGTGGAGCGGAGCCGGCAGGCCTTGAACGCCCATTTCAAAGATAGCCACAAAAATCCCAACACCGTACAAATAGACCCCCCCACCCGCTCGGGTTCTGGACCTGGGAGGAACTATATAGCTCCAAGTCCTACACCACAAATCCTCAAGATCGCTAGCCAGGGCTATGACACCTACGCACATAGGGTGACAGAAACATGTAAGACACGCTTTGGACAGGGATATCCCATATAAACCCCTTATAATTAAGGCCAACAAGGTAGGGATACCCTTTAAATGCTCAAGCCTATGCCTATGTCCTTTTATTTAGATCCCCTAACACACTCTCCCCAAACCCTAAACACTCTCTCTTTATATATATATATATATCTCTCTCTCTCACATCTTGGCAGGACTGCATGGAGCAGCGGCCGTTTGTTCCGCCGAAGCCACACGACCGCCCAAAGCCAGTGCTCGTGCAGCTGGATGAGGCCTCAAAGAGGGTTTCTGGATCTAGAGATGAATGGCTTGTTTCGGGGTTTAGGATCCGTAAAGCCCTAAGAAAATGGCGGAAGCTGACATGTATACCAAAAATAGGCTGAATTCCCTAAACCGTGAGAGGGTGTGGCTGTCTATTTCCGTTCAGACACGGAGGAGACAGCTCTGCAAGATCTCGTGCTGCAAGCCCATGCAAGCCCTTATGCGGTTTGGGATCGGGGTCGATGTTTGCGGCGTTTTAGGCATTTTCTCAGGGTTTCGCATTTAGGTTGCGTCGTTTAAGGGTGAGTCTTTCATCCTGAAGTGCACTGTTCTTCGCACGAAGATCGGACTCGGAGATTCTACAAAAAGGAAAACCTAGACGCCACCTTTTTTAGGGACTTGTATAAAGAAGCCGAATAAGGAACCCCCAAAAAAGTAGGTTCTTTCTCGGCTTCAGGTAAAACCCCAAAGCGTGAACCCTGTAAGGTTGGAGTTTAGGCCTAGGCGCTTCGGTCGGATCTCAAAGGATCATAGAGCCCCAATCCCTAGGCCCCTAGGCCCTTCAAGGTTTTAGGTTCAAGGAGTTTGGGGTTTAACCAGTTTTACCCCAAGCCCTGAGCCCTTCGGGTTTCAGACTTTTAGGTTTAGAGCCTTAAGCCCAAAACCCTAAACCCGACACGTTTAGGGTTTAGAGGGTTAAAAATTTCCGCGGTCCCTAGTTAAGGCGGCTCCCCTGACACCAGAAGCCTTCGAAGCGTAGAACGAAGTCCTCACGACTATGCCAACATCAGGGTTTAGATTTTCGGGGCTTTAGTTAGTCGTGGTCTGGCTAGAGTCAAGCAAGAAAGAGGCTTGAGGAATCACTCATATTTGTGCCCCAGGGTTCCTTATTGCACAGGCTCCTACAGCATCTGGCCGGGTACATGTCCTTTCGAACTCTTTGGGTAGGAGAATCTTCATGACGCCTTTGCAAGTTCCACAGCAAACTGTGCACGTAATCCTATAAACCTTGACATGCTATGTTGCAGGAGCCGCTGGTCGAAACCCATGAACGGTGGAAGTCTAATCCCCCAAATCCTCAAGCCATCGTGTGGTTTTTATAAGCTCCAGAGCCACTCACTTACTACATGGGAATTTCGTCCTACGGCCCGAACCAGAATCTTCTCTGTCACCCCTAAGATCAAGATCCTTCCTAGTAACAACCCCCCACAAAGAGGGACCTATCCGGCGTTCATAAACACCCTAAACACTAACATCCCTCAACCTCCCGACCAAAAAGTATCATGTAGCTTTGCAGCACGGCAGCTTGCGCCCACCCTCGAGAGAAAAGAGAGAGCAAACCCGAAACGCTAAACCGAAACCCGAAACCCTATAAGCCCCAAACCCTGAATCCTAAGCCCTACAATCCCAAAGCCCTAAACCCTAAATCCTAAGCCCTACAATCCCAAAACCCGGCATCCTAAATCCTACGATCCCTAAACCCTAAATCCTAAGTGTCGCGCGCCGTTGCATTTCCTTTTCAGCTCGAGTCCCGGGCGCCGAAGTTTTTGTTCCCCTGAGGCCCAGGGCCTCCAACAGGCGATCTTGTTGGGTTTGGGATTTTGGGGTAGAGTGTAGTATATTACAGTAGAGTATAATAATACAGTATATTCTAGCATTAGTATAGTATAGTAGTATGATTCTTCTTAATGGGGTTTAGGGATGTTCCGGGTTTAGGGTAGAAAAGGGCTTAGGGTTCGGGGTTCAGGGTGTTTTACGCTTTAGGGTTTGGGGATGAGCGTCCAGTGTTTAGGGTTTGGGATGGTTTGGGTTTGTGTTTGGACTTTGCGGGGGGGGATGGATGAGTGCGGGTTAAAACTTTAGGTCATAAAGGAGTCAGGTTTAGGGTTGCGGAAGGCTTGTTTGGGTAGGTTTGAAGTCTTATTTGCTTCAGGTCTCCTGGGATTTTTTGCCGAGGACATCGTTGTTACAGGATTTTTAGTCAGGAATTGAAGTAGCAAAGCCCGGTTAACCATACCAATCGACCCTGACAAATGGTTTAGGGTTAAGGACTTAGATGGACATAGCATGCTTCCGTTGCAGTCTGGCACATCTTCTACAACCTTAAGCCAAGCGGCATGAGCATGATCATCACAACCAAACCCCCCCTGTCAGGAACCCTACATGGGAGTTTCCGAGATTTAGGGGTACCATATTTTGGGGTACTTATAGTAAGGATCCCATTATTCAGGGTACCTATAGTGAGGACCCTATTATTCAGGGTACTTGTAGTAAGGATAGTAAGGATCCTATTATTCAGCGTGCTATATGAGGGTCCCCTATTTTCGGAAACCCCCACATCTCAAACCTTTACCGGCCCAAAGCTCCCAGAAATCAGGGCCGGGGGGTTTTAGGGGTTGAACTTAGGGACTTCCACGCTATCCCAAACATATGGGAGTTTCCGAAATTTAGGGGCTACCTTATTTTGGGGATCCTTATAATCAGGATCCTACTATATAGGGTAGATTAGGGTCCCCTATTTTCGGAAACTCCCATATCTCTGGGTCTACCGTGTGGGGTTGAAAGGCTTTACCGGCTTTGGGTGTTTACTGTGGAGTCTTTTTCTTGAAGGTACCGCGACAAGCTTCCGAACTTGCTCAGGTGCTTTCTGAGTGGCCTTCCACAGCGCCCACAGTCAAGCGGCGGCATGGCACCTCGCTTCTGAAATATCTCGTCTTACTTTGCTGTAAAACGGATGGGTAATCTTTGAAGGCCAGATGTAAAGACTTTCATTCATGAGTGTTTAACTGCCAGTTCGTTATTCCCTTCGTGACTTGAATGACGGCCCTCTTCGACAGCTCGAAAAACAAGCATAACAGCAATAACAGCAGCCTTACTTCCACCAAGAATACTGCACTAGCAATCAATGACAGTAAGAACCTCGTTTGAATGAAGTTCTGCGACTTTACGATCATGATCCCTTCCTCCTTTTTCTTAGCCTCCGCCTCCCTGCAGGCCAAAATGATTTTCCATTGCTCCAAATATTTTTTAGTGTTCAGGGTTTGGGTTTCAGGAGGTTAGGAAGTCTAGGGTTCAGGGTCTGCCTTCTCTTCCCCAATCAGCGCGACAACTTACCGATTAGGGTTCAGAGTCGGGTTAGGGGTGCGATGGCATTATGGGAGTTTCCCAAAATCTGGGGTACCTTATGTTGGGGCCCTTATAATGGAGATCCTATTATTTCGGGTACTATGTTAGGGTCCCCTGTTTTCGGAAACTCCCTTATGGGGCTCTTTTGTTGAGTACTTTGGGTTTGCACCCTGGGCCACCCACCGCTGCGGCACAGTCTCACATCCCAGCTCCCACTCGTTTCCTGCCTAGCATGGCGGTCGGAGTAATTACGGTAATTACATTATTTACTTACTAGTAGTCCCCTCTATCAAACGGGGGGCCTCGCGGAGACAGACATGATGCATCGCACTTGCAGCAGCAGCCGGAACAGAGAGCCCGGCATCAATATCAACAGCACCACCGCAACGAGAGCTGTTACAAATGTGATTGACGCAATCTGTTTCACTCTTATTTCCAAAGCCCTCTTTATGTTCAGCCCTCAACCTTGACACCTAGTCCTGGACCATACTGTAGCTACTTTAACCTATGCTTGCATGATTACTCAATCCTGAACTCTAAATCATCCTAAACCTCCAGTCCCAGGTCAAAGTCGGAACTCTAAACGATTGTAAGAGTATGAAAACACACCCAAAAGCCCGATACAGTATACAAAGGCCCCTATCTAAGCTCTGCGGAATTAGCATCGAGGCGATTCCGTTTGCTTTATAGCACCCTTTACTTAAAGGGTCCGTGGACTTGCTAACTAGGGTCAGATTGTCTATAGTTAAGGTTATATCATTATATTTAAGGTAGCTATACTTACAAGTGCTGGTAAGCCCGTTTACGGAACTTACAACCTTCCGCTTCGTAAGTTCCATGGTCCCCCAAGTACAGCAACCGGTGCAGGATCGCATTCAGGAAATGGAACTTGTATAAACTGTACAATGAGGTGATTCCGATTCCCTCGGTGCCGATGCCTGATGGCCCGCTCCCGGAAGAGTGCCAGGAAAACGTGAAGAGGCCACCTCGCCATGTTGGGGTGCAGACAGAACTCTAGGGTGTGGAGCTTTACGCTTTTGCAGGGTTTTCAATGCAAAGTGGCCTTATATTAACTTAAATTTTATACGATCCCATAAACCTTTTGCGGTGGAAAGGCGGCATCTTCAGGTTTCCCTTACACTCTTCCTTTCATTCGCTAGATTATAGAACCTACTCCTCAGAACTCTGAAAGGCCATGTAACACACTTCTTGAATACTAAAACGGTATACAAGCCATGTGTGTTCAGGATTAGGTTCGATAGGGTCCGATTAGGGTTCTAGCCTGAGGCTCTACCATTTCAGGGCTCAGGATAAGGCGATAGAGTCTTGTAACGTTCGCCTCAGAAAAGGTTCTAGTGTTGGACTGACTATTTCTTGTAGGGTTCTGAGTGTAAGGTTCTATAGCATTTGAACAACTGTCGGTTAACCGAGACAATTTGATCATAACCCCATGATTCTCGCAGTTCCTTGCCCGAAGAGCACTGATCACTCCAGGCAATGTAGGACTTGGGGTTCCTTCCAGAGATATCCTGGAGGTTGAAGTGGTCGATCATCTCCATGCCACTGGGCCGCACGCAGTCTTTGACACCGTCGACATTTGTTACATGTTGTACTACTTTTGCTTTCACATCCATCACGGGTGGCTTTCGGTGCCAGTCTCACTGCGACGATGACGACTACTACAACTACTGCTACTACTTCGACTACTGCTACTGCTGCTACTACTACTACTACGACGATGACTACTACTACGACGACTGCTGGTAGCACCACCACTACTACCACTTACTACCACAACAACGATCGCTTCGACCACCACCTACGATGAACACTGTCACTACCACTACTCCTACCACTACCACAGCCACTACCACTGCTCCTACTACTACTACTACTACTACTACTACTACTACTACTACTACTACTGCTACGACTACCACTACCTACTACTACTACTACTACTACTACTACTACTACTACTACTACTACTACTACTACTACTACTACTACTACTACTATACCACTACTACTACTACTACTACTACTACTACTACTACTACTACTACTACTACTACTACTACTACTACTACTACTACTACTACTACTACTACTACTACTACTACTACTACTACTACTACTACTACTACTACTACTACTACTACTACTACTACTACTACTACTACTACTACTACTACTACTACTACTACTACTACTACTACTACTACTACTACTACTACTACTACTACTACTACTACTACTACTACTACTTACTACTACTACTACTACTACTACTACTACTACTACTACTACTACTACTACTACTACTACTACTACTACTACTACTACTACTACTACTACTACTACTACTACTACTACTACTACTACTAACTAACTACTACTACTACTACTACTATAACTACTAACTACTACTCTAACTACTAACTACTACTACTACTAACCTACTAAACTACTAACTACTAACTACTAACTACTAACTACTAACTACTAACTACTAACTACTAACTACTAACTACTAACTACTAACTACTAACTACTAACTACTAACTACTAACTACTAACTACTAACTACTAACTACTAACTACTAACTACTAACTACTAACTACTAACTACTAACTACTAACTACTAACTACTAACTACTACTACGACGACGAGGACGACTACCATCACCACTATTGTTTCGACGACCACTACTACTTCTGTTTCTATCATGGTGACTTTTTGCTATCTAACGATTATCATCGTTGTCTCTGTTGTTGTTGGTGTTCTTTCCGTCATTTTTGTCTTACCGCAAACATACATCTTGTCTTCATGTCTCTCAGAGCTCTCGTCCCCATGGCATAGTTGCATGCAAGGAGCGCAGGAGTTGGGACTATGGCGTCGTGTTTCGTGGGGTCTGTGTCCATGGTTGGAAGCTTTCGGTTCATGATGTGGAAGTTTCCGAAAATTAGGGGTACGTTGTTTGGGGCTCCTTATAATAAGGATCCTACTTTTTAGGGTACTATAGTAGGGTCCCCCTATTTTCGGAAACTCCCTTATGGGGGTTATGGGGGTTGTAGACAGAGGCGTCGGGTTCCCATGCTCACCGTCGCGGCCATCAGTTGATATGTATTGTCCCGCTGCATTCAATTTTGCTGACTCCCCCTAGGCCCCTGAGCATTCACGAATATCCGTATATAGTTGAAGATCATGAGTAAAATCTCTGGTCGCATGCACTGCACGAAGCAAGCTGAGGGTCTGGTGTATCGCCGTCTGCGTGCTACTTCATGCAGACGAATAGTTGAATGGGTCGAACAAGTGTACACAGCCTAAGTTCCATACCCAGCAAACCCCTTTTGCACTCCATATCCTGACCCGGCTGCAGTAGCTTTCGGCCTTTGTTTTCTACTTGAGGAGTGTCCCTGACTCTGCTGCGTGTCAATTCTTCACCCTGCAGACACATCAGCACACGCCTCACGTGGATTGTCCGAGCGCGAGCGCTGAAACCATGCTCGTCAAGTCCAGAATCCGACCCCTTAAATCAAGCATTCTATACTATACCACATTATATTGTACTATGTGGTACTATTTTTGTCTTTTATCCATATTACAAAACCGTACAGCCCCAACAAGACCATACGGACCTTGAGCCGTAACCCAAGACCTGCATGGCTACAGCCAATGGCTCAAGTTGTTGGCTTGTTTGCAGTTTCCAGTCTAGCAGGTAAAGCAAGCTAGCAGGTGAGCATCCTGCAAGATGCTGCAAGTTAGAATGATCTCCGGCGGAGAAATGAGCGTACCTGTCCACGAGATAGACGACGTGAGGAGCTTGAAGCGTTGCATGAGTCGGCTGCAGGGGTTTCCCATCGGATTCAGACAGAGATTCTTGTTCCGTGGCAAGTTTTTGGAAGATGCTGTGAAGCTGGACTCGCCGATGGACCTGGATCTCGTTCTGTTGCAATTCGCTGAAGTTTCACAAGAGCAAGTAGACAACTTAGTACAGGCCGCTGCCCGGGGCTCCCTCGCCGAGGTTGAGTCCATGCTGCAAACGCCACAAAATCCAGACTTGAGCCAGGCAGACGGCTGCACGGCCTTGACGGCGGCATCTCGGGCGGGTCACTTGCAGGTCTTGAGTTTGCTGCTGGAGGCCGGTGCCAATAAGGAGAGCACAGACAACGACGGCATAACAGCCCTGATGGCGGCTTCTTATGCAGGTCATGTCGAAGTTGTGAGCTTGCTGCTGGAGGCTTGCGGTGAAACGGATGTGGCAACCAACTGCGGCCGCACAGCTTTGATGGTGGCATGTCACTTAGGTCACGTCGAAGTCGTGAGCTTGCTGTTGGATGCCGGTGCCAACGTAGATGTGGCAGACAACCGCGGCCGCACAGCTTTGATAGCAGGATCTCGTGCAGGTCATGTCCGGGTCTTGCGTTTGCTGCTGGAAGCCGGCGTCAACAAATGCGCCGCAGACAGCGACGGCTGGACAGCTTTGATGGTGGCATCTTTTGCAGGTCGTGTTGAAGTCGTGAGCTTGCTGGCGGAGGCTTGCGCTGACAAGGACGTGGCAGACAACGGCGGCAGAACAGCTATGATGGTGGCATCTTATGCGGGTCATGTTGAGCTCGTGAGCTTGCTTCTGGAGATTGGTGCCGACAAGGAAGTGGCAGACAACAGCGGCATGACACCGGTGATGCTGGCATCTCGGGCAGGTCATGCCGATGTGGTAAACTTGCTGCTGGAGGCCGGTGCCGACAAGGATGCGGCCACCGAGGATGGTATAACCGCCTTGTTTGTGGCATCTTATGCGGGTCATGCCGAAGTCGTGGGCTTGCTCTCGGAAGGCATTGCCGACAAGGGTGTGGCATCCACGGAGGTCATGACAGCTTTGATGGTTGCATCTGCCAAAGGTCATGTACAGGTCTTGAGCTTGCTGCTGGATGCCGGCGCCGACAAGAATGTGGCAGACAATTGTGGCCGCACAGCTTTGATGGCAGCATCTCGTGCAGGTCACGTGCTGGTCGCGAGCTTGCTGCTGGAAGCCGGCGCCAACAAGGAGAGCACAGACAACGACGGCCGAACAGCCTTGATGGTGGCATCTCACTTAGGTCATGTCGAGGTCGCGAGCTTGCTGCTGGATGCCGGCGCCGACAGGGACGTGGCAGACAATTGTGGCCGCACAGCGTTGATGGCAGCATCTCGCGCAGGTCACGTGCAAGTGTTGAGCTTGCTGCTGGATGCCGGCACCAACAAGGAGAGCACGAACAACGACGGCCGAACAGCCTTGATGGTGGCATCTCACTTAGGTCATGTCGAGGTCGCGAGCTTGCTGCTGGATGCCGGCGCCGACAGGGACGTGGCAGACAATTGTGGCTGCACAGCGTTGATGGCAGCATCTCGCGCAGGTCACGTGCAAGTGTTGAGCTTGCTGCTGGATGCCGGCACCAACAAGGAGAGCACGAACAACGACGGCCGAACAGCCTTGATGGTGGCATCTCACTTAGGTCATGTCGAGGTCGCGAGCTTGCTGCTGGATGCCGGCGCCGACAGGGACGTGGCAGACAATTGTGGCTGCACAGCGTTGATGGCAGCATCTCGCGCAGGTCACGTGCAAGTGTTGAGCTTGCTGCTGGATGCCGGCACCAACAAGGAGAGCACAGACAACGACGGCCGAACAGCCTTGATGGTGGCATCTCACTTAGGTCATGTCGAGGTCGCGAGCTTGCTGCTGGATGCCGGCGCCGAGAGGGACGTGGCAGACAATTGTGGCCGCACAGCTTTGATGGCAGCATCTCGCGCAGGTCAAGTGCAAGTGTTGAGCTTGCTGCTGGATGCCGGCAGCAACAAGGATAGCACAGACAACGACGGCCGAACAGCTTTGATGGTGGCATCTCGGCATCTCACCTAGGTCATGTCGAGGTCGTGAGCTTGCTGCTGGGTGCCGGCGCTGACAAGTATGTTGCAGATACCCGCGGTCGCACAGCTTTGATGGCAGCATTCAATGCAGGTCATGCCGGAGCCGTGAGCTTCTTGCAGGAGGCTGGCGCATGATAGCAGCTGAAGGGCATTATCTGCTGCTTGCGATCAATCAAAAGCTTTCATGAAATTTGGTGAAGTTTCAGGGCTTAGTAGTTAGAATAGGGTTACGTTAAAGGGGTCTATATAAGGGCTACTATAGTTGCAGCAGATGGACTTCTCCGCACCAGGGCCGTGACTCCTGAACCATAGACCTCCTTGCAGTCTCTGTGGCAGAATCCCCCCACGGTTTAGGGTTTAGGGTTTAGGGGCCCTGAACCTTGAGCCTTCAGCCCTGTCCTTGGCCCCTAAACTCCTCCTCTGCGCTGCAGTACCCTGGTACTGTAAGAACCTGATTAAGAAACCTTGGGCCTTTATTAGGGTTCCTTATATGAACCCTATTATTTTGGTGTTACAGGCCCCGGGTTCCTTAATCAGGTTCCTACATTTACCCTGAACCCGAAGCCCCTTAAGAATCCTGACATGAACACTGGCCAGTTCCCTTAACAGAACCCCCTTGCCCCGTGTGTTCCCTAAGGATATTTTTCGGCTGCGGGCGTGCCGCCTGCGCCATTGCTCTCGGAGCAGATGCTGGGCTGTGATTTAGGGTTTAGGGTTCAGGGTTTAGAGCTCAGGGTTCAGGGTTCGGTGGTTTTGAAGTTTTGATTGTGGTGCGGTTTTACTGGCTTGGGGTTTGAGCGATTTGAGCGAAGTGGTGCTTTCCCGCCACAGGTTGTATAGCACGAAATGCTTGGAGATGTGTGCGTCGTGTGTTCCAGCAGCACGTTCCCCATGGTCGTGGCGAGAGAAGTTGAAGCATAATTTTATAGGTGCTGGCAGTAGCTCGGACTCCATGCACTAAACTTCACCAAGCCCCAAAACCTCCACCTGGTTGTGAACAAGCGCAGGTGTCGTTCGATTTCTTCGCCCTCCTGAACCTTTTCATCAGTATCGTGGCGGGCTCGGGAGGAGACACTTCGAATTTCCGGCCCCATATTCGACCCTAGACTTATAGGGTTAAGGGGGTTTAAGATTTAGGGCTTAGGGTTCAGGGTTTAAGATTTATGTACACCCTTATAAATCCGTGAATGACGCCTTAAGCTCCCGATAACAAATGCGTGGCTACCCAATGCGGAAAGAACAACCTCTCCCCCCCTGATTTTGGGACCCACACTTCAAACGCGGTCGAGATCAAAAAGGAATGTGGTACTTTGGGAAACTTGTTCATTTCCCTATAGAGGTACCATTTAAGGGCCCCGAAACTACAACCCAGAAAGGAATGTGGTGTTGCCCGGACCCAATGCAGAGCAGCGGTTTTGCTACGTCTCTATCGACCAGAGGTCATGGGAACCTTCCTGCTGAAGGACGATGCGCCCCTTGGTCCAGTATGCGCTGCACTCGTCCACAATGGTTTCCCTAAGGCTCCAAAGGACCCAAAAATTAATTAGGTACTCGGTTTTCGGAAAGTAGTTACGTAGGTTAGGATTTTGGGGAGTATATGATTGTTGGGTACTTGGACCCTTGAGGGTTTGGTAAGGGCCACGAGTTTCAAGGGGGTGTGGGGTGGAGCCTTCGACCGTCAAAGCAACTTGTGCCTTTACCTACTTATAGCCCTGCTTCTAACTTGCTGTCGCCGGCTCCAGCCGTGCAGCCCCAACCCAAGACGTGGACACTTTTGCCAAGGCATTTGAAGAACTTCTACAAATGCTTGGCGGACAGTATTTGCCAACCCTGCCTCCCGGATTGAATATGTCCAACAGTGTTGCCCGAAAGCCCAAAAGACCCAAAGCCCCAAGTCGTGCTTGCCTTGTGTATGTATGTTCTTCGGGTTCCTGAGGTTTCGGCTGTTTTTCAGATTTAGAGTTTGGGGATCCTAAACCCTAAATCAGGTTTTTCCTGATTTGCTACCTTGGGGTTCCTGATCTTTCGGAGGTTTAGGGGTTTAGGGGTTCAGGGTTTACGGTTCACTAGCACTTCTTAAAATGACCTCTATTGTATACACCCTCAATACCAGCTATTAAGGACCACAAGGGCGCTATTAAGGGGTAATTGGGGGGTGCTGGCAGGGTTCAGGGTTTTGGATATAGCGCCATTAGGGTCTAGGGTTTCAGGGTTTCAGAAAGACTTTTGCTGATAAACTTCCTTCCCTTAATCGGATCCTGAAATTCTGGCTGTGCCAGAAGGGGAGTTGTATGCTCGTATACAGTTGGGGGTGCTCTGTCGTGCGTGGAGGTGATGGGGTTCTTTTGATGGTGGAGTGCAGGCGGCACCCTAAGGGCCCATGTGACCAACTGACTACCCCAAGACCGAAGCACGGTTGATGATATAAATCCTCATTACCTTAATGACCCTAGACTATTGGAATTATGGCATATTCCTTATTATGGGCAGTGCTGGATTTATATCATCAACCGTATGTGCCATCTAAGTGTAGTCTTCGAAATCTTGGGCGGAGCCACTTCTGGGAAAGCGGCGGGGCTTTGCATTTCAGGCTCTAGGATTCGGGATAGGTGCAGCCGCTGAGTGGGTAGACTTTACACTTGTCGGGAACAGGTGCACACTTGCAGTTTATGGGAGATACCATTATTTTCGAAAATATTTCGGGATAAACTTTTTGAGCCTCAGAACTTGGCAGCTATGTAAGTCCTTGGTAGATAGTGAGACCCCCTGCCCAAGCCAGTTATCACGTAGGTACACGGAACAGTCGAAGATGATGAGAGTGCAAGTGGAATAAACAAAACATAATCCCTACCTGGACTATCAAAGACCTACCTGCTTCAGACCTTGTACATGGAAATCACCAGGGGGGAACGCTAAACCGTGGGCGAGACAGTAGGTTTGTTTTGGGTTCAGGGCGACCCTCACAACCTAATGCCCCACACCCTTAAACCCTAAACCCCATGAAACCCTGAACCCCAAATCCCAAACAGCCTGAAACGGTAGGTTTTGGAGGCTTAGGAGCTGAGCAAGCAACCTTTATCCTTTTGGGGTTTGTATAGCCCTACCATAACTGAAAAGGGTAACGATTCTTTGGGGGTAGGGTACGCAGCCCCTGAGAGTTGAGCTCCTTTCTTAGCCTCATGATCCTCTCGATCTTAGAGGTTCAAGTCGACCTAATGCCCTACATCCTTAATCTACTAAACCCTAAACCCTAAACACTAAGCCCTAAACCCTACTTCGGGAAAAAGATGCTCAACAAAAAAAAGAAAAACAAATCCTAAGCCCTAAATCTCATAGGGATCCTTAGGGGTGTAGGGGGGAGGGGTGTAGGGGACTATATTTCCTTAAATAGGCCTTATTAGTCCTTATTATGGGCCTTAAGGCCCCCTACCCCCCCTCCCCCTACACCCCTAAGGATCCCTACGAAAATCCCTGTAACCCCAAACCCCCCGAAGCTGCCTTTTTGGGCTAGGGTACTCAGCCCCTACGTAGGGGTTCTGATAGACAGACCCAGTACCCTGCGAAGCCAAGCCGGCCTCGGCTTCACCCAGAAGTCCAATGTACATGCACAGACATGTATATATGTATATATGCGTATGGAGATAAAGGTTTGTATGTGTACTTAACTTGCTCATGGAGTTTCATTTTCTTTAGCACCTTAACTTAACATGTGGTTTGCACATCCCCTGCTCCAGGCGCAGATAGTGGACAAGGTGGCATGCAGTGCTTGATGCCATTTCTGTCGCTTCCTTGCACTCCAAAATCCCTGGTTCCGGCTTAAGCAACTGTGCAGATAGCTTCCAACCTTTTGGAGATGTATACAGACTGTCTTTTTGCTATCTACCCTGATGGAAAGGTTGATCATTTCTTGCGCCAGAAACTTTTAAAACCTAACCTCTTAAGCCCTCCTACGGATGAGGTCTTGTCGATGCTGCAGACCTTGCGATGTAGCAGATTGAATCATTCTTGCTCTAGGCTTTAGGCGCTTCGGCAATTTTGGCTCTAGGGGTCCATGGGTCCCGAACCATTAACTGCAAACCCTAACCCCAAGTCCCAAAGTCTGGACTTTAACGTTTGAACTCTAATCCTAAGCCCTGAGCTGCGCTGCTGTTGGAGTTTGGGAAAGGTCTTTTGCGGAAGGCTTCCGGAGTCAGAGAGTTTCCCGGGTGCTTGGCTTGCTCTCAAGAGTTCTGAGGAAGCTAGAAGTAGGGCTGTGAATCACATGTACAGTAGGGCTGATCGCACTTAGGGCACAAAATTCAGAGTTGAACATGCCCCGACAATGAAGCTATTTGGGGGAGCTTCCGATTTTACGGGGGAGGGCTAAGCATTGGGATCCTGTAGCATATCTGTTAAGAGTCCTCTCCTTCCTGAAGCTCCCGTTCGTACTTCAAACTACCTCGTCCTGATGTGTATATGGTGTGGGAGCCTCAATTTTAACATTGTTTTAATACTATGTTTCCTTATTCTAGATGTAGTATAATGGGCCCCAAAACCCTATTCTACTTATTAAGGCCCCTACATTTCACATGCCCACCACACATTATTTACTCAAAGATGAGCTTGGTCCGACCCCAAGGATCATGACCGTGCTGAACGTCTTGTGGCTTGTCAAAGACTGCGCCCACCCGAGCCTCTCAGTGAACCCGATCACTTTGAGCCGGAAACATGAAAAGTTGCAAAGCCCCAATTCCGAAAACCTGGATCCGCACACAGAAGACCTTGCGTCGACCCTACCTCTTTCTTCGCACGTCTTTGGCCCTGGCAGTTTGAGGTTTGGCAGAGCCTACAGCAGCATCGGCTTTCAAGCTTAGGACATTCTAAAGCCCGAAGCAACGAATTTCTGAAGCCCGAAAGCGCATAAACTCAGACCTCCAAATCCCGGAACTACAACGAGTTCAGGTTTCAACGATTTGAGGTTTCCCCAGCAATCCCTTTTGGGGAACTTCCCCCCCAAAAAAAAGTTGCCCCTCGCAGCACAGCGACTGAGCTGCAGGCCTCACCACTTGTCCAGGTTTCGTGACAAGATCTCCGGGTTTGGGATCTAGGGTTTAGGGTTTGGGCTTCACGGTTTCGTCACAAGACCTCCTCCATACCCATCAGCATGCTTGGCACATGCATGTGCAACGAGCACCTGCCCAGCTCCTTACTAATCCTTAAACTCTAAACCCTGGTCCCTAAACCTTGTGGCCAGCAATGCAGGCTTCGTCCTTGCTAGGTAGGAGGGAAAAATTTTGCGGCCTGAACTTAAACCCTAAACTCATGCACTTCGGTGCATTACCAGTTTATTTCCGCCATCCTTGCATCCACCGAAAACCCACATTTCAAGGTTAGACTTCATCCAGAGGATGCCGTTCTTCGGCATCATGCCATATGGCTTGTTCCTGGCAGGCGATGCTATGTCTTTACTGCTCTTAAGAAAAAGTTGTATTTCTTATGATGTAACTTTAGGGGGCCAATAAGACTATTCTTTTTATTTTGTTGCTTCTAAGGATTTTAAGGACAGCTAAGATGGGCTCGTTGCGGCTCACGAAATCAGTTCAATCCCTAAACCTTGAACCCTGCATACTAAAATTCTCAAGGCGAGAATCCTAAACCGTGAAAGCTGCTTGTGCGGCACGTTTGGGCCCTAAACCCTAAACCCTAAACCGACGTGTCGCTGTCCCAGCTGAAATCTTGTAAACGAACCTGAGGCTTCCCTACACCCTTAGCCAAAGCCCCGGGCTTCTGGCAGGCGTTCACGTTTTACATGACGTCAAGGGCGTCAAGGCTTGAAAAAAGGCTTGTTAGAGTCTTAGAGGCTGTAAGTGGCTTTCAAGATTGTTGCACTGATGCAGTTTTGTAAGGCTGAGAGTTGTGTCGACTTAAGTTCGACACCTGCCCATTCGAGAGTCAAAGGGTCCGGGGTTAGGGGTTCGCGGATATGGGATGCCGGCCCTCCTGTGATGTTTTCGTGTTTCGGGGCTTTGGGTTTAGGTTTGGGATGTTTGGGTTTAGGAACCTGTTTCGGGAACCCTAACCCTAGAAACCCCAATGAAAAGCTCTTTTGGAGAAGGGGACGCCGTGGGAACTCGTCTGTTCAGGCTCACTTATTGCGCAAGCAGCAGCTGTCTACTTCTCGCGGCTTGGCGCTATTAGGGTTTAGGGTCTTGGAGTTGAAGGTTTAGGGATTTAGGGGTCTAGGGTTTACACGTCATGGTTGTGGTGAAGCCTCTGCCCGTGAGGTGTATTCTGACCATGCGCAATTACCAGCTCTTGATGCAAAAAAGATTTGTATGTTGTCTGTTCAATGTTGACATGTGCAGTCTGGGGCCAGACCTTGGAACAGCCTGGCAGAAGCGTGTGGGCGTGCATGAACTTGGACTGCGCAGTCGAAACGGCCTTCCCGACGTCTTATTCAATCGGCACACTTGTCACTGCAGCACTTCCCCGAAGCCTGCGGTAATGCAAGGACGCGAGGATGCAGCGGGCTTTGGCGATTCAGGGGGCTAACCGACCCTTAGCCCTGAACCACGTGGGCCTCTGTGAAGGCTCCTCTCGAGGTGATGCTTAGACCTTGACCCTAATGCAAGTGCCAGAACAGTTACCAACATTTCTCCCTAGGGTTCCTTAACAAAAAAACAATACAGCCCCAAAACCAAAACACTGTTCTTTTTTAGGCCCAAATTTAGTTGGTGTTCTTCTGGTTGGCTCTTAGGACTTTAACTTCTTGGGTTTCTAAAGTAACAATAATAAGAAGGCTAAAAGTGTAAATCTGAGGAGGGCTTCAGAAGTCAGTGCAAATTAAGGCCCCGATTTTACATCCGTATCTACACCTTCTGCCCGCAGAGGTGGGGTATCTACCAGCAAATCCGCACGCCGCGCGGGTGTGGCGCTTGGTACGTGTGCTTCCCTTGGCTCTTAATCCGAAACAAGGAAACCTAAAGGAGTTAGGGCTTTGGGTTTTGGGGTTTAGGGTAAACCCTATAAAGGAACTCGCAAGGGTTCAGTGTTTAGGGTGCAAAAGGGTTCCTCAATCGTCTCGCGCGAAGCCTGATGCAAAAAAAGGGTTCCCGCAAATGTAGGTTTAGGGTTTATAGGGACACTTTATTTAATTCAAACGCAGTTGGGTTTCAAGTTTGCTTATGTCTTACGAAGACCTTAAGGTTCCAGCTCGTACCGGCACACACCCAAAGCCCGTGCTGAAAAAAGGGTTCCGTTACATAGGGCGCTAGGGTTCAGAGGTGTAGAGTTTCAGCACTCAGTGACTCAGTGTTTTTCGGGAGCAGAGTTCCAGTCAATGCAGGAGGAGCCTGGGAAAGTCCTTCAATCAATGAGCCCCAAAACAGTTATATACCCAACGCCCCACGCCGATCTGAGGGCACTCAGTAGGGACAGAATTCGAATCGTGCTGGATGTATCGTAGTATCTCGTATACTGGCTACTGCTACAATCTTGGCGACTCAAGAGGCTGGGATCCCATGCACGAAGCCTTTCGACAAATTTCTATTTCCTAAAGCATTACGAACTCTGCAGATTAAAGATCTCATTCATGGCCCGGGCTTCCCTGGGCGGAAGGCGAGAGGTTTAAAGGACTTCAGTCGTCTTTGGCTGATTTTGGGTTTCTTTTGTTGGGAGAACGTCGGGGTTGTCGAAAACTAGGACCTAGAGTAGGCCCTTATTCCCTTTTTTGGGGGTTCCGGTTCCCTTATAAGCCCCTTTAAACCAAAAAGGGCACCCTTTTTATTCCTAGGCTACTCTTGGGTCTAGAAAATGGGGACTTACGATTCCGGGTTCCGGAGGGGGTCTGAAGCTTCGGACCCTGCGAAGTAAGTCGCAAGCCCGAAACCTGAAGCCTCCTTGCCAGGCTTGTCCGAGTGTGACTGTCAAAGACTTCAATCCGAAGACTCTGGATATACGAAGCCCGAAGCCCCGACGCCTAAACCTCAAGTCCCTCGCAACCCTAGAAGCCTGGGTTTAATTCAAGCTTTAAATAATCCTAAACCTGATAAGTTTCGGTTTCTATACCCCAAACCAATCCCTACAAACAGCGTCTCCAGAAGTTTACGGTTTAGGGTTCCTAAACTCCTAAACCCTAAACCCCTACAAACAAATCTTCGACTCCAGGGACGTGGAGATGAGCGGCGGCTACAACTATGATCGAGTGAACCGAGCCGATGCTCCTCCCCAACAAGGCCGCCTTGATAGGGTTTAGGGCTTTAGGGTTTAGGGTTTAAGGGCCTTAAGAAGTTCGAAAAGGGTGCCGGGCCACATTACAGTTGTAGCTTATATTGGAATGACAATCGCGTACTACCACCAGCGACTATACTGCGTCCATGGTCTTTGTGATGTTTACCCAGAGGCCCCAAAGTAGTTCCTTTTTGGGATTACCTTATAGGATTCTATGTACGAACTACTTTGGGGCCTCTGGGTAGATTGTATCGGGACGTTGTTGTTGACTATTCCGACCTCTGGGGGACCGGTCGGCCGGAGTGTTCCAAGGATGTTACTTGGTACATGTGGGAGTTTCTGACAATAGGGGACCCTAATATAGGACCCTAAATAGTAGGATCCTTGTTTTAAGGACCCCCAAAAAAGGTACCCCTGTTTTCGGAAACTCCCATGTAGGAATTGAGAACATGGTTAGGTATAGGTAGGCCTTTGACTGCCTATCCTGTGTTTTCGCTTATTGGGTTGAGGGGATCCTGTTTATGGGCTGGTTTCAGAGGCTCCAAAGGCCGACCTGGCGCTTACAGGCTTTGTCACGATTTCCACGAACCCCAGTATTTAAGGATTCGGCGCTCACACTCAATATTTAGGGTTTAGGGTCTGGTATCCACGATTAGAAAATACATCGGGCAGTTTTGGTCCAGTGCTATGCTTTTCTTGGATTGTTTTGTGCTACGAGGTTGCGTGAGGCATTGATTATGGGCATGGTGTGAGTTGCTTTCTGTATGGGCTTTCATTCATATGGATTTTGGGAGCATCAGAAAGTAAGCGGCACCCAACATATAACCCGAAAATACATATGATCCCTACCCGGAGCTCATAAGCCCTACAGCATAAGGGGCCCCCCTGAATCCTCATCCCTAAACCCCCGGACCGGTTAGACCGGCAAACAGTATGGGTAGTGACGATTGCAGAAATCAAGCCTTAAAGGAACCCTGGCAAGAACTTCTATAGTAAACATTTCTGGAACATTTAGTAAAAGGAACAGATAAAAACGATCCCGTATCATGAACAAATGAAAACATATACATGCACTATAACCCTCTCGCAAGCCATATTCACACGTACTAATGTTCATGTAAACCTGAAAACCTTTCTGGGCAGCAGACTGTCATGGGGCCTGGGTGTTTGAATCTTTGATTTTCTTGGTGTTGAGCCGTAAACCCCTAAAAGCATCAAACCCGCCAAATCCCCCCAACATTAAACCCCTCCTTAAACCCTAAACCCCAATCCCCAAATGGCTACAGATTTCGGCTTACAGCTACCGGCACCGTTGCTGCGGCGTGGGAGGGTGGTCTTTTCTGGGCTTATCGGTTGGTCTCTAGGGACTCTGACCTGCGCTGCCTAGCCTTTTCTCCTTCTGTCGCGTCCCGAGGGAAAGAGGGGGAGAAAGAAAGAAAGAGGCCCTTTGAGGTCCAAAGTGAGAGAGTGAGATGACCACACCATTGCCTCCTGTCGGAAGGCATACTCAGGCCTTGGAAGCACCTCAGCGCGGGCGCACCCGTGATGCTCCTAGGGATCGTGCATCTAGGGAGACCAAAGAAACCCGTAAACCCCGTAATTCCCGCGAGAGGCGATCCACCACCGCCGAGCCTAGAGATGACAAGAACTCGCCCGAAGTTACTGCTCCTGATTCCAAAAAGCCAAAGCTCGAGAAAATTGAAGATACCAGTACTGATGCCGCCATGCCTGACTTTGGCACTTCCAGCAGTGATCGTGATCGTCCTGAGAAACCAGAGACCCTCCCCAAGAAACCCGAAGCTCTCCCTGAGAACACTGCCCTGCCTAAGATCGGAAACAAAATCTTCAAGGATACTGCGCTCCCCCCACATGACACGTTCGACCAAACTGCTGACGATGACGAAGATGATGATGTAGATTTGCCAACACAGCGTGAGCCGAGTAGCGAAGAGCGTGAAGCCGAAAGAACAGGGACCAAAACCAACGATGATGATGAACTCCAAACAGCAAACACTGCTGCACCAGCCTACAACTCTTCACATGTCCCAGCAACACTCATCACACACAACCCTGCAGCAACCGTTGGTCCTTCTCCCCTGAGTAGCGATGCCCCACCATGGGTCCAAGAAATTCAGTCCGGGATTATGAGCTTGCATAGCAAAGTTGACCTGTCGCGAACTGAACTTGCACAATAGGGTGCTGAAATTCAAGCACAAGGCATCCGGGTATCCCACCTCGAGGCTGTCTCACATGAACATACCCAACACATTATCCAGGCCCAAGAACAAATCAAGAAACTTGAAGCCAGGATTCAAGAGCTCGATAAGATACAAGACATCGAGAAGAGACTCTCCGAACTCGAAGCTGCAAAACGGACCCTGACCCCCCCTAGGAATTTCGGCCGTAGTGGGCCCCCCTCTCCGAGATCCCCGAGAAGCTCTGTTGACAGCAGGGAGGAAGAAGGTGACTTGGACATCATCATTGGAGGCTGGACCGATGCCAAAAAGGGAGACGCACAGCAAGAAGTAGCCAACATGTTCAATGCCATTGGATTGCCGGACAGCTACAGCGAACTCTGGGCACCCTATAGTCGAACAAACTTCATCAAAGTTCAGCTCGTTTTCAAGGACCCTGATGCCCATATCAAATTTCGCAGAGTAGCTCAGCTTCAGATCCTTGACAAGCTCAAGACAAAACGCTTTACTAGTGGAGTACCTGGGTCAGAAGGTAACAAGATCTGGGCCACAAAGAGCAAGACCAAAGAAGAGCGAGAGAGAGTGCGTGCTCTTGTTCTTACCAAAGAATTCTTGAAGCACCTACCAGGCTACAAAGGCAGACCACAAATCCCAGAACGTGACATTGAAATCATGTGGAATGGCAGACTCTTCGTGCATCAGTTTCAACTTGTTGGCTCCATGGATCGTGACGGTGAACCTAGCGTAAATGATTTCATAATCAGCGACGCAAGAGGCAATCACATCCCATGGTTTGTCAGGTCTGCCCAGTTTGAATCCCTGACGGGCTACCCTGCCTCTGAGCTCGCTGAGCTCTGGGAACGTCATTGCCCTAGCAATCCTTGACCCACAAGCATCCCCCAGACCCAAGCCATGCACGCTGCCAGCTGGAACGTACAGGGCAAATCAATCGCTGACATTGCGACCGCGTGGCCGACCCTTGGTCTTCAGGGCTCCGACTTCCTAGGTCTTCAAGAGGTTGGGGGTCTGGGGGATCAAACAAAGCCGTGGGATACAATGCATGTCGAATTTGATGAAGCATGGACCTTCTACTGCACGAATCCCCCTAAAGCATGGAGATCGGTACTTCTTGGAATGCCGACAAAAAATGCATGTGACGTTGAGCAAATCATTCCGCTTGATGTCGGACTCTGTGTCGTTATGCGAATGCATGGACACAAACATTTCGTAATTAGTGCACATTTGCCTCACCGGCAACGAGACGACTGTTTGTCGTGCTGGCAGACCTTCTTGTCCCAACTTGAGGACATTCTTAAGAAACGCCGCTACTTTGACACTATTCTTTTCACCATGGATACTAACTACGAAATAGGTGCTTCCCCTGCCTCCGATCCAAATAGCCGAATTGATGAAAGAGAGGTCTACTGCCAGCTACTTCTTCGTAACTACGGACTTATTCACACTAGACCAGAAACCTACACCTGGAGCAATACTAGGGGGTCCTGCTCTAAAATTGACTTTATTCTCCTGTCTTCCCCACTTAATGCCTTTAGTCGCGAAGAAGTCCTGGTAGACACAGACGTGTTTCTGGGGTGCGATCACCGGTGTGCTACTGCCACCTACCCGGTCTCGCGCATCTCGAAAACCAACAGACCCAAAAGAACCATCAATCGCTGCGGCAAGTGGATCTCGGATTCCAGTAAGGTCTTTGTTCAAGCTCAGAATCTCTGCCATCGCCTTGACCTGTCCGGTAACGACCTTACCTGTCAAGACCTTGCTGAGCTGGCCTCCAATACGTCCTTCCGCCCCAAAAGCTTCCGATACAAAGGCCCGCCTGAAATCCTTGACAAGATCCGCCAACGTAGACTCATGAGAGGAGCAGAAGCCAGAGAACTTGGTAGAGAAATAGTGCGACTGCGGGCCACGGCCAAAAACCTGTGGCTCACTGAGGTCCTGAACAAGTCAGCAAACGGCGACTTCAAAGCTATCAGCTACTTCAAACGACGACAGAACGTTCTTGCTTCGCACAATAACTACCTCGTCAGGGCTGGTGGCAAGTCGAAAGCCATAAAGGACCTCAAAAGCCACTTTAGAGAAAAGTGGTCCGAGCCTGAAATTCAATGTGTCTCACCCCTTGATGTGCTTTTCGCGAATTCATGCTCCCCAATCCCTCAACCCGCCCTAATTACTGAGGAAGAAGTTTGTACTGTTCTCGCCACCTGTAAATCTGGTAAATCGTGTGGGCAAGATGGTGTATCATATGAACTTCTCCAACTCATCATGCAGACGGAATGTAGAGTTCACCTAGTGGATCTTTTCAACTCTGTTCTTTTCCAGACTTCCCCCATCCCTAATGAATGGCTCTCGTCTAAACTCACTCTACTTCCGAAGGTCCCCTGTCCTTCTACTCCTAGTGAGCTTCGTCCCATCGTTGTCTCGAACACCCCAGGTAAGCTCTTCTCCAAAATCCTACTCACCCGACTCCGCCCACACTTTCCATCCCCTGCTGCCAACCAGCTCTGTGGAATCCAGGGATCCCAAACCCTTGATGGCTCATGTTGTCTCCAACATTTTGTTCGCCTCAGTCAAGAATTTGGCTTACCACTTATTGCCATCAAACTCGATATCTCATCTGCTTTTGATAACCTGAGCCATCAAGCCGTTGGCAGATTCCTCAACCGTTGCGGACCCAGAGTCGAGTCTCTTGTCCTCCTTAGCATGATTATTTCAAGCGTTGTAGACGTTTCCATATCAGACGCCACATGGAGTCAACCACTGGAACGAGGAATCCTTCAAGGATCCCCCTATAG